GGAGAGGAGAGGAGAGGAGAGGAGAGGAGAGGAGAGGAGAGGAGAGGAGAGGAGAGGAGAGGAGAGAGGACAGGCAGCATTGCCATGGCAATGGCAGGAAACACATCCCCACCTTCTGTCAGCCACGTGTGGCAACATGTGTGTGCTGGGCTCTGTCCCCAGGGCTGCAGCAGCTCCTCTGCTCCACACAAGCAGCATCCCTGCACTCTGCAGGGTGGCAGAGCTGCAGCCCCACATCCCTGAGACCAAAATGGACTTGGCAGGGACAGGGACACGAGCAGGTCCTGCCTTTTGGGGCTCTTCCCTTCCTCAACCCTTCCCCTCTGGCCTGTGATTTACAGCTTCACTCTGGAAATGCTGCGCTGTCGCAGACATCTTTTATGGAAAATCCTTTCGTTAGGATTTTTCCTCCTGAGAAGCTGAGAGGCCTCAGGAACAAAATGTAAGCAATGGTTATCTGCTGCTGTGGAATGCAACATGTAAATCTTTGATTAGCTCATGTTAGTTGTTTCTAATTAATGGCCAATCACAGTCAGCTGGCTCAGACAGAAAGCTGAGCCACAAACCTTTGTTATTCATTCCATTCTTTTTCTATTCTTAGCTAGCCTTCTGATGAAATCCTTTCTTCTATTCTTTTAGTATAGTTTTAATATAATATATATATAATAATAAAATAATAAATCAAACCTTCTGAAGCATGGAGTCAGATCCTCATCTCTTCCCTCATCCTCAGACCCCTGCAAACACCGTCACACTGCACCCCCTATTCCTATTCTCCCTCCTCAAAATGCCAATAACCCTGTTAGATGTGAAACTCCAGGACCTCCTGCAGGTGTGAACACAATTATCACAGTTCCAGGGTACAAGCTATTGTGTAATTGGGGAATTCCAGGACAACTGTTGCTAAGATACCACAAAAAAAAAAATCTATCCAATGTTAGGAGGTTGATATTTAGCTGTTATCTCTTTATACAGATAAATTAATTAGAATTAGTATTACTAGTCTTTTTTTTTTTTTTTTTGTAGCCTGCAATACCCCTGCAGAAATTAATTTAGAGGGCAGAACATCCCTACTGAAAGAGTTAGTAGAAGAAATGCAGAGCATGCCTCTCAAGAAGCTGTTACAAAGGAATTAGTTTAAAGGGCAAGGGTTACAAATCTGCATGTTAGCAGGTTTGGGGTTTTTTGGTTTGATTTAAAAAAAAAATTTTAATTGAACAAACTTACCAAAAGTCTCTGAATGTTAAATAAAAAGTGAAAAAAAAAAGAAAAGAAAAGCTTGTTATAGCCAGTTATTTAGCAAACAGAAGACACACACAAGACACAAAAGGTTTTAGTGTTTGAGTGCTGAGGAAGGTGCTGAAGGCTGCCTCCCGTGTCCCCCCTAGATGGCAGCTGAGCAGAGGACATTGCCTTTGCCTTCTGCTTTAAATGTCCCAAGATAAGCAGAAATATCCATTTTCCAAGGCCACTTAAACTCTTGTCCAAGCTGGATCTCTAAGGCTGAGATGCCCATGATGTCTGAGAGAAGCAGGAGCCCAGCCAGAGCTCCTTCCCATTCTCTGGCTGACAACTGAGCCTCGCACTCAGCCCAAGCCCCCAAGCATGAAAAGATTTCCAACTGCTTGGCAATTTGATCTGGAGATGGAAAGGGGAAGCAGAAACGCCCACTAGAGAAAAGCCACTGTGGTTAATGATGTGTCACCCTGCCCTGATCAGAGTGAAGATCCACATTCCACAGGGGCTCCTGGCATGGTGGCACCGTAATGGCCATGCTCTCAGAGGTCTGTTTGTACTGCCAGCCAAACATTCAGCTTTAACACAAATGAGAAGCAAACCCCATCCCACAATCTCCTTGTCTGACATTTCACTTGTTCCCTTTAATGAGCTCATTTGTGTATCTGCCTCTAACTCATAATTGATAAAAATCCAGCTCCTCACACTCCCTGTCCCCCAGCAGCACGGCTGTTATCCTGGTGGCTTTATGGCCAGGGGGAATCTGGGTGTCTGTCTGTCCTGTCCCAGCCACACACAGAGGGAACAGTCACTAAATCCCAGCCTGGTTTGGGTTGGATTGGATTAAAGCCCACCCAGTGTCACTTCTGCCATGGTGTTCCACCTCCCAGTGCTCCAAGCCCCAGTGTCCCAGCCTGATTTGGGTTGGAAGGGACCTTAAACCCATCCAATTCCACCCCTCCTATGGTAGGGACACCTTCCACTGTTTCAGCCTGGTTTGGGTTGGAAGGAACTTTAAACCCATCCAATCCCATCCCCTGCCATGGCAGGGACACCTTCCAGACTGCTCCAAGCCCTGTCCAACCTGGCCTTGGGCATTCCAGAGATTCACAGCTGCTCTGGGCACCTCTGCCCACCCTCACAGGGACAACTTCTCCCTAAATCCTCCTAAACCTGCTAGCAGGAGGTGTTTTGGCAGCTGTGATGTATCTGCAGAGCTGCTCCTCCCTGAGCTCTGTCAGACACCCTGCCCTGGTGCCACTGGGCACCCCAAGGACCTTGGCTGGAGTCCCACTGGTGGGGGACAGACTCTGGTGCCATCAGCAGTGTCCTGGAGCACCCCCAGTGCCCTGCTGTGTGCTGGTGCCACTCTTCTGCCAGCAGAGTTTGTTTTCTGGAAAGATGAAGGTATTAAATGAAGGTCTGACCTTAGCAGCTCAAGCAGAGCTCGCCTCACTCAAATCCCACCCCCAAATCTGCCCTGACTCCCTTGCACAGACACAAGCACTGACACTGTGCTCATTAACGACCCTAATGTTGATATTCTGCACTTCTGCAGGCCTTTCTTTGCACAAGGTTTGGAAGGCCATGGAAGCAGATGGAACTGGAGAGCTGGGAAGCCCTGGCTGCCCAAGGATCTGCACTCCCTGACACACAGGCAACAGGTTTGTGCCCTGCAGACTACAGGGATGCTTCAGGGCTCCACCAGTTTACTAATTTAAAGCAGCTGTAAATGAGATTAAATCTCAGCAGGTATCTTCTATTTATCAGAGGGGTCAAGGGTTCACTCTGAGGTTAATAAATTCACTGGAATAAAAAGGCAGCACTCAGGTGGCTTCAAGGAAAACACCAGATCAAACCCAGCTAAAGAGTAAAGGCATTCTAGCAAGATGATGAATGTATTAAAAATAATCTGCCTGTGCATTACTCACACTTCAGATCATGGTCACAGAGCATAATATAATTCTAGTTTACCTCTCATTATTTATGCTGAGTGATTTTTTTTTTATTTGCATTTGCCTCAGCTGTTATGATAAAACAGGGAGGTCAATCTCATCTGCGTTCGTGGGATTCAACAAGCCATTCTAATTCAACAAAGCAGTTTAAGGATCTGCTTGTGACTTTGCTTCACTGAACAAGGAGGCATTTATGCAGGTGTGTAAAAGCTACATTAAACTGCAGCTATGCTGAAGCTTTTCCACCAGTGGCTCACAGAACTTTGTGTAGAATCTTTGCCAAACAGGGCAAGAGAAAAGCCAGGTGTTTCCATGCCTTGCTGTGCAGATCCAGCAGGAATCAGAACTGATTTCTCCAGGGCCAGCAAAGATATGGGCAGGAGCAGGTGGTTTTCACTTTACTAAAGAACTTGTGAAAGGTCTAACATGAGCAAATCAGCTCCAGTTGCCTCACCAAAGCCTCTGCTTTCCCTCTGCTTACAACAATGCCTTTCTTTTGCCAAAGAATCCTTGAAAATGAACCATGGACACCTTTCCTCTAGGCTGGGTCAAAGCAGTCAGCCCCAGCAGTTTGTGAAAAGGATTATTTCTTGGGTTAGTTTTTGTCAAAAGGTAGAACTTGCAAAACTTGTTTCATTTCTGCAGCTATCAATGGAAGTGTTTTATCAGTAGTACTCAAAAATAAGTCCACCTATGCCCTCCTTGCACACACTCTCACACAGAGAACTGGCAGATTTAACAAGTACAAAAACAGCTCCTGAAACGTGAATATTAAGAGATGTCACGTTGCCACACACACAAAAAACAGCAAACAGAAAACAAACAAGAGAGACAGATGGACAAGCAGATGGGGAAAGATGGAAAACTGACAAGAGCCACGGAGCTGGGGTACATCTGTTGGTGGAGATGGACTCCATGGGCAGAGGCACCGAGGGGTCACTCCAGAACATTCCCAAGAGCTCTCCAGGTGATGCTGGGGACATCCTGCAGGAGCTGTTCTTCACCACCAGCTCTGAGGGGCTCTGCTCACACTCACACCATCGTGCTGGACAGCCAGAGGCTGCCTGAGCCCCTGCACCAGGTGTGTGTGGCCTGAAAAGCCGTGTTGGCTAGAGTGGTTCTGTGTTCCTTTGCCAGTTGTTGCTCTGAGGAGCAAACCCCAGCCCCAGGCAGGCCCCAGCTTCCCCTGAGTGCTGTGATCCAGGGAACTCATCTGGATGGGCTCCCCTGCTGTCATTCCCTTCACACCAACTGGGCAGCAGAGAAGACCAGGAGGGCTCAAAGCGGAAACTCCAACCCCTCTTGGTGTAAAAACCCAAAAAACTCAAACGCCCCAATCCACAGCAGCGGGGCCTGCATCTCTCAGCCCTCCCCTCTGCTTCAGCCATGATATTTTCTGAAAAAGCCTTTCCTTAGGATTTTTTTTTCCTGAGAAGCTGAGAGGCCTCAGGAACAAAATGCAAACATTGATTATCTGCTGCTGTTGAATGCAACAGGTGGATCTGTGATTGGCTCCTGTGGTTGTTTCTTATTAATGGCCTATCACAGTCAGCTGGCTCAGACTGTGTGTCTGAGCCACAAACCTTTGTAATCATTCCTTCTTTTTCTGTTCTTAGCCAGCCTTCTGATGAAATCCTTTCTTCTATTCTTTTAATATAGTTTTAATATAACATATATCATAAAATAATAAATCAAGCCTTCTGAAACATCTGACGAGGAGTCAGATCCTCACCCTAACACCCCTGCCAACACCACCACAAGTCCCCTCAGGTCTATATCAGCTCTCACTCCTGCAGGGTGAGCCCTTACCTGATCTCAGCTGTTTTATCCTGCCGTTGCTGGCGCTGGGGTCCACGGGCAGGAAATCCTTGAACCAGGTGATCTCGGGGTCGGGGTTGCCGCTGGCCGCACACAGCATCGTGGCCGTCCGCGTGCGCTCCACCACCTTCAGCTGCGGCCCCATGTCGATGTTGGGGAAGCCAGGGGGTAGCTGGTCCTCTGTG